ATTTTTCCTATTTTTAGATCTCGTTTCCGTCGTGTGGTGTGAGATCTTTCGAAGACTCTTGTTAGGGTTTTAATTGGAGGTAAAAATCTCTCCTTTATTAGTTTGGATCTATTCTTCGTTTGTCCTGTATTGGTTTGTTGGTGCTTTGAGATTGATGACCGAGAAAGAAGGAGTTGAGGCTAGGATTTTGGATTATTGAGAAGTACATTGACCTGCATATTGAAGTCCTTTGAGCACATTGGTATGAGCAAGGAGACCAAGGTGGAGTTTGGCACTTCTATTCAACGATTGAGGGGTCTTCTAGATGGTGTTCATTCAGGCATTTGGGGGCCTTCCAAGAAAGCATCATTAGAAGGTAATCGATATTTTATTTTCTATATTGGGGATTGTACTAGGCATTTGTGGTTTGCAACCAAGTATCATTGGTGTGAAGTCCTAGAAATTAACAACAAATGAAGGAAGTGTATTGGCAGAAAGGTGATCTGTTGTTCTGATTTTGGTAGGGGTCCTTTCTTGCATTTGTGCTAAGCTCACGACAGTTTGAAACACTTCATTGGAGAGGAAACATTGGGGCAACGAGATGAGATGACAGTTTTGATAGGTTGTTCCTTGTTGGAGGAGGATCGACGTTGGTTGTCAAGCATTAGATTGCAGAGGAGTTTTGGGGCTTCGACATATTTAGGTCATCTTAGTCATAGGTTGCCGACTGCTACGTGTGGAGATTGTAGATATGGTGGAGCTGCTTCAGATTTTGGGTTGCGTAGGATGTTTGTTGCCCAGCATTTGGTCACATCGAGGATATGAGATTTGATCCGATAGCACATTTGGGATTCAGATGCTCGTTTGGTTATCAATTAGGAGACTCTGATTTTGTTCTGAGCAGGTATGTCACATTTGACTCTCGGTAGGTAGAGAGTGTTGATCAGGTCACTAAGATATCGCAGCGGGTAGAGGGTGATGCTACTCCACATTGGGTGAAGATTACTCCACATACTCCAGATCATACTGCATCGTTTGGGATTCCAGCTGAGGTGGCACAGTTTGGGGGTCATATTGATGTGGATGCAGATGATGAGTTGGTGGATTCGAGTACAGCTGGTGGACATAATTCACATTTGGTTATGGCCATTGGTTCACCTCAGGTGGAGGTGTTTTGATTGTTTCACTTTGGAGCCATTAGGAGAGCTATCAGCCGCAGATTTAGTGATGATATTGGAGAAGGGTTGCGAACTTTTCTATTGGATTGAGGGCTTTCGGAAGCCATTTGGTGAACTACGTGAGGCTTGATTCCTTGGGCAAGAGCATACGTAGGCAGTCAGTTATGATACAGCCGATTTGGTGAGTAGTTACAGACGTTTGGAGAGTGGTCACATTCTTGTTTGGGTCTCGACTTGTTCTGGATTGAGTCCGTTGTTGTGATTTTGTTTCACTTCGTATTGGACGTAACAAATGAGACATTTATTTGGTGTTAGTGTCGGCTCAGTTTTGAAAAAACTTCGTCGATGTGGAGAATTGTTGGATAGCAGGTTCCTAATCTGTTTTGGTAATAGGTTATTGGGATTCCTAATCTGTTTTGGTAACAGGTTATTGGGATTCTTAATCCGTTTTGGTAACAAGTTATTAGGATTCCTAATTTGTTTTGATTTTGGTTTTAGAATTCCTAGTATGTTTTTGGTTTTAGGATATCTATATATATGGAACGATTGGAAGAGAGAATTGAGCAGCGAAGGGGATGTTTAGAGCACAGAAAAGAGGTATTTTCTGAGCTATTGGTTAGAGTTTTGTTTGGAGAGAATTAGAGCTTTGTTGGTGAGATTAATTGGTGAGTTTGTGTGATTTTCTAATCTCAGTTTGTACTCTTCTTCTCTATTAGTGAAAACCTCATCTCATTCTTGCCTCGTGGACGTTCTTGCCCCGTGTATGTAGGCAACTTGCCGAACCACGTTAAAATTGGTTGTTTGAGTTTGTACCGTTATTTTGCATTGTTTGGCCTTCTCTCGGCGTTTGCTTGATTTGGTCTCTCGAAACATATCGGTTTGGTTTTGATTTCTGCCGCGCACAACAAGTGGTATCAGAGCCCAACAAACTATATTATTATTTCTTTACTTTTTGCGTTATAAGAGAGAAAAGTTTGGAGTCTCTTTTACTTTTCTTCAGGTTTCAAGCAAGAAGGCGGCCGGTGACTTTGGTATCCTCTATGCTTCTTTCTCAACGATCAGCCATTACGCGTCTCTATTTCACTATTTCAGCAAAGCATGATAAAGATTAAAGTTTAATATCGACATGTGATCAATATTAATTCTTGGGTAACAAAATTAACCACTCTGCCGCATTTAATTTCATCTAAACTTGTGCTTAATTTTTAATATTTTGTTCGGGTCCGACGTCGTCAATATCTGACTGTGAGCATGGCTTCATTCACATTAGTTAGTGCTAAACAGTCATGATTTCCAATTTTTATGGTACTTAACATTCTCATATTCCCACGTAATCTGTTGATTAATCATCACTCTGAAGAAATTGGTTGACCTACCAATTAACATATTGTTCATCTGACTTGCAAAAACTAAATCATACTACGACATCTCCATCGAGTCCAAACTACTCAAAATAATTAATTAGACTCGTTATTAAGTATAAAATGAAAAGGGTAATAGAAAACCCCTCTTACCATTAGCCTATTATCAATAAAAACCCCTTAACTTTCCCAATATCAGATACCCTTGAGCATAGGGATTATCACAAATTCCCTTTAACTTATATATTTTATCAAAAAAAAAACCCTTGAACTTTGAGATTTTATTGGAAAAACTTCCTAATTTAAATGGAGTTTCTGATAACCCCTAAATTTAAGAGTGGTTTTGTGATATTTTGAAAGTTTCCCAAGTTAAAGGGGATTTTAGCCTTTTTAAAACTGTGAGCAACTTCTCCCAGAAAAGTCATCACCCTGTTGATCGTTTTGCATGTATGTAATTTACAATGTTACATTTCTTATTGACACTTTATACGAGCTTTCTGATATGGAACTTGGATCACATTCTCTGTTTAGATCGACTTTGGTGAACCTTTGTGATATTAAACAAGAGTGGTATCCTATTCAAAATGTATCAATAATAACCTCTAGAAACTCTAGCACCCAGACACAGCATACAATTTTCCAATCTTCACCTAATCTTAAAGAGGGGTTTTCTAATATTTTGGAGGAAAATGATAGGGGCACACCCCCAACCATACCTTCAACCACACCCCTTCTCTCATTTGCTACAGTGCACCGGGCCCCATACGGGATTTTAAAAATTTAAAATCTCATGTGGGACCCGGTGCACTGTAGCTAATGAGAGGGGGTGTGGTTGGAGGTGTGGTTAGGAGTGTGCCCCTAGTGTCACCCTATTTTGGAAGCTAAGGAGGTTTTCCAATAATCGTTCAACGGGTTTTTTAAATAATATTCAGCCTTGTGCTTATTTTTAATGCCAACAGCTTCGGTGCTCCATGGCATCTTCTGTAAATAGAAAAGCCTAAAATCTAGCTCTCTGATCCACAATTTAAGGGATTATGCGGTTGATAGGCCTTCCACACCTACATTTGTAAATAGGTTGAACTTAGAGGATAGTTTTGGAGTTGAAAACATCATAGAAAAGGATAAAACTAATATTTGAGAAGGGTTAGTTTTCTTCAACTAATTTCTCACTTGATCTTTAACAAAATCTAATTTGGCCGTATTCTATCATATTAGATTTCTCTCTTCTATTTTTCCTTCCATATTTATGACAAAAAACTGGTATTATAATGCAAAGTTGTGTTTAAAATAGATATTATTGTTCTTGCTTTTAGTCATATTGTATAAAATTATGCATAACATGCATATGTCAATTCCTTTCTTATCATTATAAAGAGGAATACAATTAACTGTCGATTGTAAAATTACACTTTTATTTATATTTTCACTGAAAAGATTTAGAACTAAGTCAGAGGATCTTTCTACATACTAACATTAATAATTTGATACCCCATTTACGAGAAAATATTCATTTAGAAATAAGTGTAATAAATTGTATTGATTTATATTCTTTTGTACATTGAAAAATCAAAATCTGAAAATTACACTATTATATGTTTGTTTAAACATGTATATAAGCTCCAAATTAGGCTAAACTAAATTATCAATTTTAACTAAATCTAAAAAGTATACCATGTGCATTGCACGTGTGCAATTCACCTAGTAAACGTGAAACAAGGGAGGTGGGTGAAGTGGTTATGGACAAAGAAATAATAGGATAGGAATTGAAAAGAAAAGGACAAATGCACCCTTGTTATTTTCAGCCCAAAATATTAATTTTCCATCCATTTAAAAATTATAAAAATTCTTATTTTGGGAGCATCAAATAACTCATTTTTAATATTTTGTTTGGGTCCATCCGCGTCAATATCTGACTGAGATAACTGCATTCACATTAGTTAGCTCAATTAACAATCATGATTGCCAATTTTTATGATGTTCAACATTCTCTATCCGCAAGTTATCTGTTGACTAATCATCACTCCGGAAAAAAAAAAAATTGGTTGACCTGCCGATCAACATATTTGTTTTCATGATTTGCAACTAATCAAAGCTAAACCATGCTACCATAATGCCATCAAGTCCAAATTACTCAGAAGGATTAATTAGGCTCGTGATTAAGTATAAAATAAAGCTTGCAATGTACGATCTATTTCCATTATTGACATATTTATTGTACAAGCATTGTGATATGGGACTTGGACAGTTGGACTCACATTCTCTGTTCAGATCAACTTTGATGAAACTTTGTGATATTGAAGAAAACTGGTATCCTATTCACCCTCCACAAAAATAGAACAATTTCCTAATCTTGCACTATCCAAATCCGATTCGCCCAAATTTTTTATATAATAAATTTTTTTTAAAAAATTCAAAGACCCGCATGCCACTTAAATTGTGACCTCTTAGATCTCCTCCCAAAAATTTATATTCCTTATTTAATTTTTTAGCTAAAAGGTACAAAAAGCCCAAAAATCTTCTCTATTATAATTCCCGAGTACTAACGGAACTCTCTTCCTTTCCCTTTCCCTTTTCGTCCAATGAGGGTTTCATTTCCTCATATACATTTAGCTCCATAGATCTCTCTCCCTTCCATCAACCTAATCTCTAACAAGATCCAATCTTTATTTAATTTTCTCTCAAAAGATCAAATTTTGACATCTGGGTTCGCTCCATTTCATCCCCAATCCAATCCCAAATGGATCCTCAAGGCCACGGAACCCCTCCTCCTCCAATGAACCCCGCAGCGGTCCAATACCCCGCAGGCACACCCTACTTACCCTACAACCACCTCTACCATCAACACCAGCAGCATCAACAACAGCAGCAAACCCAACAGCTCCAGCTCTTCTGGGCCGACCAGCACCGAGAGATCGAGCAAACCACCGATTTCAAGAACCACAACCTCCCCTTGGCCCGAATCAAGAAGATCATGAAGGCCGACGAGGACGTGCGCATGATCGCCGCCGAGGCCCCCGTCGTCTTCGCGCGCGCGTGCGAGATGTTCATCCTTGAGATCACCCACCGAGGGTGGGCCCACGCCGAGGAGAACAAGAGGAGGACCCTGCAGAAGAACGACATCGCGGCGGCGATCACGAGGACGGAGGTTTTCGACTTCTTGGTCGATATCGTGCCGAGGGAGGAGGGGAAGGATGAGGCTGGGGTCGGGATTGGTGGGCCCGATGTCGTCGCCGGAGGTGATCCGATGGGGTATTTTTACGTGCCGCAGTGAAATTTCCAATTGTGAGTGGTTTTTGTTGGATTTTGATTTCATCTTTAATAACTTGTTTTTGTTACCCTCTTGATGTTTATGAGTATGAAATGTAGTTAATTTCATAATATGTTTTGTTGAATGCTTGATGCTCATGAGACTTTACTTGGGTTGGAATAATTACAAAGTTGAGAAATAGCATTAAATTTTCGAAAGGGATAGTTTCTCTACATTACAATGTTGTTGCGCTTATATATTGATGTAATAGGATGATTTGATAATTGTTCTTTTACTTCGCCCTGAATGTTATACTATAAGTTAGAAATATTATCAAAATTTCAGTTTCCGGTATTATTTCTTAACCTATTGTGCAAATATTTCATAAATGTGTTTACCTTTAGGAGCAAAATGTAGTAACCAAATTCCACTGATTAATTTTGAGGCGTTGAATTAATCTTCCTTCTTCTTGTCTAAGCTCATCTGACATTGCTATTTGTTTGTCCATGCAAGTAGTAATTAGTGCTAACATGGTGTCACGCTCTCATGATCATTGAAAACTAAAGAAACAATTATTATACTACTTAAGATCATTGGTAATTAGAGAAATATTTAATGGAAGCATTGTTTCCAAGGCAAGCCACATTTGTAATGAATGAGGAGAGAAACAATAATTAGTAGTCATACTAAGAATATGTAAAGAGGAAGACTATAATGAGATAGAAATGATTTTAATAAATATTAATCTCACGATATGCAAATGGGTGGTTGAAAAATTGAAGCCAGCAAGAGCAAGCTAAAGGTAATGATAATATCACACTTATCAACATCATTACAACATAAGGAATGAGTTAATGGATAATATAAATGGATATTTTACTACTCATCAAGACCTTTGTTCCTTTGAAAACTAAAAATGTTTGAAACAAATACTGTAATGTTGGTAGTTCTAAGGCAAACCAGCTCAATAAAGAAAAGAAAGCCAACAATTATAAATCATCTCAGAATGATGCTTCTTATATTCCTGATATCAGCGATAGCTGTTAAAGAAATTTGTAATGTATACACCTCAGCTATTTGTGTGTTTTGTGCTGATGTCAATCGTTGTGGTTTTGATTTGGGAACATCTGTTGATGTGCATGTGTTTTTCTTTTCTTTTTCATTATGACATAGCTGTGTGAGATGCACTTTGGGCTTGTACATTACAATGCTTGGTATACTTGACATGCTTCTTTGAGTTCTAGACATCTGATTTAGGGTGTGTTTGGATTTCAATGGGGTTAAGTGAAGTTAAGGGAAACTAGGTGAGAGAATGGAAGGGAAGGGAAGGGAGTTCCCTTCCCCTTGGTTACACCCCAATTTGGGGGGTAACAAATTTTATACTATTAGGAGGTGAACCAAGGGAAACTATGCATGTTTGCTATATCCACTTCCAAACAGTAATTTTGGGAGTTGGATTGCCGAAAATGCCCACAAAAAAACATGTTTGCTATATCCACTTCCAAACAGTAATTTTGGGAGTTGGATTGCCGAAAATGCCCACAAAAAAAGGATTGGCTGTCCGGTGGGAGAAGGGCAATTTAGTCCTCACACACCCCCAAAGTTACTGTTTGGGAGTGTGAATAGTTGGACCCGAAACTATGGTGAATAACTTCACCTCCTAAATGTTCCCAAACAAGGTGAATGGTTCCCCTAACTTCCCTTCACCCTTATTCCCCTCAATCCAAACAAACCCTTAATTTCTTCGTTGCTTTTGATACATGCTTGATAGCTTTCTTTTCTAAACCTCTTAAGTACAGAGATAGCATTTGTACTTATGTGAACCGTAACTCGCACAATGCAGAGAACTTCTAGGTCTAGTTACCATATCACTCACTGGGTGTTATTGTGAGAAAACCAGTCTCTTATAGATTGAGCCAAGTCAGAACTGTGGTTGGCAACAAAGAACATAATCTGAATATGTTTGTGCAGGATTTTTTTAAACTTTTGCCTTGTGTGCAAACAAAGGGCAATACAGTAGTTTTTGAAGTACTGTATTCATCATATCTCACAGTTATCAAGCACAGGATTTGTAGATAATCAACACTGCCAATCATACAGATTGTTATGTCTGATTATAATTTAAAGGGTCAAAACAGACTATACTTTTAGTGAAGGAGTTACTATAGCTTGAGCATCTTGATGGACAAATCTCTACATGACTCTATGAGGGCATGTCTAATCTTTAACTTTGTCGAAGTTTATACATAGTTCCTTATATCCGTAGAGAATGATAAATGCTTGGCTGAAGGGAGGGAGTTTTGCTTCATTTATTGTTATATGACAGTTCGAAGATTTGCTTGAGCAGTCACTTGCACACAAAGGGTGTTTTTGGTTCTCCTAAAGAACTCATGGTTCTCTAGATAATTGTTTGATAAATTAGCTGGAAGAGATAGGGAAATTGCGGGAAAAAACCTAGAAATACTCCAACCTATTACAAATATCAGATAGACAAAGATGCTAGGGAGAGTTTTAATGTCCTGAAAAAGGCATTGAAAGTTGTAGGTTAGCTGATATTATCCTTTTTGCGTAGGAGAAAATATGCAAATTATCTACTGGTCTCAGATAATTGTATTAGTGGTGGATCAAAGGATGTTCATCAATAGATTAGTTGATTTATGGATTATTAGACTGATTTAGTGATAGATACCTTTTTGATGTATCACTGATGCAATGAAGTAAATACACCCGTCATTAGTCTTCCTCGTATAATGAATCCAAATAATTAGCTACATCACAAGTTCCAAAAATTCTTGGCCAGGAGGTGTGCAGAGATTTGATCCTGTGATCTCCCATACGGAGGCAAATGTATTGAGGTTGAAGTGAAGGATAAGCTTAAGTACTGAAGCGGAGTATTGAGTGATGGCTTACTTATGCGAATGCGAATTGTGCTATCTCACATTCTCTTTTGCATGACTTGTTTGTATAGTTAGCAAAAAATACTTTTGACATGTTTTTATAGGGTTATAAATGAAGTGAGCTCAAAACATTCATGTCTGTATTGGCTGTAGAAGTATTAATCGCGTTACAGATCTATTAAACTATTTGCTCCATAATCGGTGAAATTAGAAAATAGCTGCATACGAACATAAAATGTTTTGAGTAGTATACTAAACTAATTAAAAATATTTGAGTAATACGGTGCAGTTAATATAAATATTTGAGTAATGCTGTAAACTAACTACAGATATATGCATATAATCTGTAATTCACGTGAATATCTGTAACTTGACTTCCTAATATAACTAACATATCCCATCCAGATGGAGGTGCATTTCTTCAGAAAAGAAATGATTCTCAATTTGAAAGCTCAAAAAGTACGGAAAATGAGGGAAATTCTGTAATATTCAAGATTGTAATTTTGATAGTGACTCAACCTGTCTTTTCTATTTTCCTGAATCTTTCTAAGAAAAAAAAAAGTAGGTATGTATGTCTCTTTGTCAGAAAAGCTCATGACCAACAAAACTCACCAACTGGTTGAATTAATTTAGACGATCATGCCAATAATAATCTCCATTATCAAAGATTCCAAGTCCTATTCATAAAAACCTCTAGATCTTAAAATAAGATCTACATTTATGTGTTACACCGACACACTCACACAAACTGTAAACAACCTGAATTACATCATTATGTAGAAAAGTCCCAGCACGCTACAGCGACGCAATCTCATTCTGATAAGTAACTCTTCAGATTGAAAAAGAACTTCTCAAAGTGAAAATGTTCAGCTAATAATGTATCAATCTCTGATTACCTGACCTTTAGTTATGTTTACATGTCTTTGATTATAATAAAAAACTACGAAATTCTTGATGTAGAATGGTTATCATGGTGTTAAATCTAGTGTCTTGTGTTCTTAGTGTTTGTTTTCATTTCCTTTTTGTTTACCTCTCTGTGTTTGTTTTCCTCCCCTTTCTTTTTGTTTACTTTCCATCTGCTACAACACCGCCATAAATGTTACATTAATCATCTACCTAATGACACAGATGTCAAATAATCAAGTGGTGCGCACCAACTATTCTCCTACATTTATAGTTTTTTGTTTGTATTCTTGGTGTTCAATCAATCTCCTTGGACTTGGGAGGTCGACATGCAGCATTGAAATTATTTTATTAGTCTATTAGGAGGCCCCGGGAGCTAAAATTGCGTGGAAAGGTGCAAAATTCTTGGGGATCATGTATCACATGGAATCTAAAGATTTTTTTTTTAATTTCAATCACAGGCTGCCTGATTGAGACAAAGGGAGACTCTGGTTCTCAATCAACTTTACCTGTTATTTTTATTTTTATTTTTCTCGGGTTAGCTTGAAACTACGTTACATCTTACATGAAGGACTAAAGCTGAGTTCAGACTACTATCAGAGAATGGGTCATGAAATAGCCTGTTGGAGTTGAGGTTTATGTTTGAAGGACGTTGGCTTAGGGGTTGTTTGTTTGCGATTTGGGTAGGGGGAAAGCCTGCCAAAAGTGCAGCTTTTGACATGCTTTCCACCCAAATCGCCTCTTTTAGAGGCGATTTGAGTAGAAAGCCTACCAAAAGTTACACTTTTGGCAGAGTTTTGGCAGGCTTTCCAGCCCTTTCCCCCTAAAAAACAGACACATGCATTAATTACCTCATTAAACACATGCATTAATTACCTCAACGTAGTGAATCCAGATTCGCTACAATGATTCCAGATTCATTACCTCAACGAACACGTCCTTCACTGCAGTGAATCCAGATTCATTACCTCAACGAACATGTTTTTCACTACAGTGAATCCAGATTCACTGCAGTGACGAACACGTTTTTTACTGCAGTGAATCCAGATTTGTGTTTGTTGAGGTAATTAATGCATGTAATTAATGCATGTGTCTGTTGACTGTTTGACTGACCCACAGCCATTGGATTCATCTAGATCCAATGGATGATATTGGTTTTTAGTTTTTAGGATAAGGAGGTTTTTATTAGAACATCTCCATATATATATATATATATATATATACCAACTGTGACGCCCCTGTTTTCACACTTGGCTGCAGTCCAAGGTGAACCCAGAGAAGTTTATTTATTTGATAAATATTTCATAGAAAATTTAACAAAACGTAGTTCATTAACTGTTTGATTTGGTAGTCCTTTTAATTGAAATTATTGCAAATATTTATTATGTAAATATTATTTTACAAATGACACCCACTATACACCTATAAATATC